TCTAATGATCTTATGTTACCAGGCATGATGGTTATTTAATGAGAAGGCCCAGAGGCCTAAAAGGGATAAGTGCTTTTTTAAATCTTACCATAGGGGCCGGCGCTGTGGTATAGTGGGTAAAGCCGCTGCCTACAGTGCAGGCATCCCATATGGGTGCTGGTTCAAGACCCAGCTGCTCCACTTCTGATCCAGCTCTCCTATGGCCTGGGAAAGCAGTGGAAGATGGCCCAAGTCCTTGGGTCCCTGCATCTGCATGGGAGAACTGGAGGACACTCCTGGCTCCTGGCTTTGAATCTGCACAGCTCTGGCCGTTGCGGCCGTGTGGGGAGTGAACCATTGGATGGAAGACCTCTCTCTCTCTCTCTCTCTCTCTCTCTCTCTTTCTCTCTGCCTCTCCTTCTCTCTCTGTGTAACTCTGCCTTTCAAATAAATAAATAAATCTTTTAAAAAAAATCCTTCCAGGCCGGTGCCGCAGCTCACTTAGCTAATACTCCGCCTGCAGCGCCGGCACCCCGGGTTCTAGTCCCAGTTGAGGCTCCGGATTCTGTCCTGGTTGCCCCTCTTCCAGTCCAGCTCTCTGCTGTGGCCCGGGAAGGCAGTGGAGGATGGCCCAAGTGCTTGGGCCCTGCACCCGCATGGGAGACCAGGAGGAAGCACCTGGCTCCTGCCTTTGGATCGGCACAGCACGCCGGCCGCAACGCGCGGGCCGTAGCGGCCACTTCGGGGGTGAACCAATGGAAAAAGGAAGACTTTTCTCTCTGTCTCTCTCTCTCTCTCTCTCTCTCTCTCACTGTCTAACTCTGCCTGCCCAAAAAAAAAATCCTTCCATAGACTTCTAGTTTAGACCATCAAAGATCAGAGATGGGACTCGAGCACCCCTTGACTTGCATCCTCTTAAAAGTTTCCTCTTAAACCTCCTGACGTGAAATGGACACTATGGGAAACGGTGACTTGATCAGCATAGCCCTGACTGTTAACAAACAACTTAATACATTATCCCTCTTAGTAGTTTTTTTTTTTTTTTGTCTGTTCTACTTAATATGACTGGTTTAATTCTGTAATTAATACACAGTTATTCTTAAGTGTTGAAAATTAACTGAAATGTGATCCCTGTTAAACATAAGAGTGGGAATAAGAGAGGGAAGAGATGTATAATTTGGGACATGCTCAAGCTGACTTGCCCCAAATGGTAGAGTTAGAAACATACCAGGGGATTCCAATTCAATCCCATCAAGGTGGCATGTACCAATGCCATCTCACTATTCCAAGTGATCAATTTCAGTTCACAATTGATCATAATGAAAGGACTAAGAGTCAAAGGGAGCACATAAACATGTCTAGTACCTGCTAACACTAACCAATAGAATAAATAAAGGGGAGAGTGATCCAACATGGGAAGTGAGATACTCAGCAGACTCATAGAATGGCGGATGTCCTAAATAGCACTCTGGCCTCAGAATCAGCCCTAAAGGCATTCGGATCTGGCTGAAAAGCCCATGAGAGTATTTCAGGCATGGAAAGCCAAGACACTCTGGCAAAAGATCTCTGTGAGTGAGATCCCACGTGGAAAGAACAGGTCTCTCTACTTATATAGTAGGTAGGTACCTTTCTCTGAAGGGAGGAGAG